GGGGGCAGTCTTTCGTGGACGGCGGCTCCATGTGGGCTCCCCGGGCCGTGCAGGTGCCGGACCAGATCCGAGCCCCCTACCAGCCGCCACCACCGCAGCCCCAGGCGGCCCCGTCGGGGCCCCCCGCGCAGGGTCACCCCCCGCACCTGCAGCAGCTGGGCGGCTACCTGGCGCGCGGGGACTTCTCCATGCAGCAGCACGGGCAGCCGCAGCCGAGGATGGGCCAGTTTCCCCCGGGCCAGGAGGGCCTCGGTCAGGGAAGCCCCTTCATCGCCGGCCCCGGCCACCTGTCGCACGTGCCCCCGCAGAGCCCCGGGGTGGCGCCGAGCCTGCGCCACGCGGTGCAGCCCTTCCACCACCATCCCCCCGCCGCTCTCCACGGGGATCCCGTAGCCCACAGCCCCCGGTTCTCCCCCAACCCTCCCCCGCAAGGGGCCGTGAGGCCACAGACCCTCACCTTTAGTTCTCGGAGCCAGACCGTCCCCTCACCTACTATAAACAACTCAGGGCAGTATTCTCGCTATCCTTACAGTAACCTAAATCAGGGATTAGTTAACAATACAGGGATGAATCAGAATCTAGGCCTTACAAATAATACTCCAATGAACCAGTCCGTCCCAAGATACCCCAACGCTGTAGGATTCCCATCGAACAGTGGCCAAGGACTCATGCACCAGCAGCCTATCCACCCCAGCGGCTCCCTTAACCAAATGAACACGCAAACTATGCACCCTTCGCAGCCTCAGGGAACTTACGCCTCTCCGCCTCCCATGTCACCCATGAAAGCAATGAGTAACCCGGCGGGCACCCCTCCTCCGCAAGTCCGGCCCGGAAGTGCCGGGATCCCGATGGAAGTCGGCAGTTACCCAAATATGCCTCACCCGCAGCCGTCTCACCAGCCCCCTGGCGCCATGGGGATCGGACAGAGGAACATGGGCCCCAGGAACATGCAACCGTCCCGTCCGTTTATGGGCATGTCCCCGGCGCCGAGGGAGCTGGCCGGGCACCTGAGAGCCAACGGTTGTCCTGGCGTCGGCCTCACAGACCCGCAGGCGATCCAGGACCGGCTGCTCCCTGGCCAGCAGCACCCCGGGCAGCCGCCGGCCTTCCAGCAGTTGCCAAGCTGCCCTCCGCTGCAGCCCCATCCGGGCCTGCACCACCAGGCTTCGCCCCCGCCCTCGCACCACCAGCCTTGGGCACAGCTCCACCCCTCGCCCCAGAGCGCCCCGCAGAAAGTGCCTGTGCCGCAGGTAAGGGGGCGTGGCCCTGCCCGCCCTGCCGCGCGCCCGGGCGCAGGCGCGAGGAGCCTGCCGCGCAGGGCTCCCTCTCAGCCTCGCCAGACGTTGCTTCGTCCCGAGGTCCTTGAGTTCTGCCGTGTAAGCTGCTCCAGCATCTCACTTGTTTTCTGTTTTTCTCTCTCTCTCTTTCTTATTTTATTTATTTTTTTTACTCTCTCACTGTTGGCTTGTGCATTTATTCACTTTTTCAAAAAGTCGTGACTCCTCCCGTCCCAGGGGTTGTGCTGGAGCTGAGGGTGCGTAGAAAACTAAGTCTGGGTCCTGCCTGCAAGGAGCTCTGTTCTCACTGCCAGCAGTGAGACGGACATTGAGTCTAAACTGTTTTTTCCTTCCCTTTATTCTTCTATGCTGTGCTCGCTCCCTCCCTCCCTCCCTCCCTCCCTCCCTCCCTTTCTCTCTCTCTCTCTGATATAAAAACACACAGAAACTCGGTTTCCAGCAACGTTTTATATTTTTGTGATGGTCCCTCCCACCTCTTTTAGAAAATTATTATTATTTTTCCCTTGGGAAGCTACAAAATATGTTCTTCTGTAATACTTATTGGACCAGTTGTTGAATGTTAGTGTTAACTTGCACACTGTAGAAAATCACAGTCAATGGTAAGCCACACAAAGCGGTCTCTAAGAGATTTGGATACCTAGTACTAAGAGCAGAAGTCTTCCTTTTCGTATGCTGGGATTTTATCCGACAGAATTTACAAGCAGACAGATTTAGCTTTTAAGCTCTAGTGCTCCCATACACATCTTTCCATTATAAATGTTGGCGTTTGTGCTCTAGCTCTAGGAAAAATAATGTCTGTATGTCTAGATTATTCAGAGTGCTATTCAGAAATATGCATTGATCTTCCACTACAATTGCAACCCCGTATGTGGATGGCACAGTGTGATCTTTAGAGCTGTAAGGCACAATGCTTGTTCTTAATGAACCTGTAATCAATTTGGGGAAACGTGACCAATACGTGAAAGTATAAAGTATAGTAAAAGACCGTGCATGATTATGTGACAAGTGTTCAGAGAGAGGCAGCACCTGTGGTGCTTGGAATCTGGCTAGGACGTAGCCAGGGATTTGAACCGAGGATGGCATTTCAGGTTGGGGGGTGGTTCCTTAGAGGGGGCACGGGCCAGGTGGTAGAGGTCTGATCTTCTGTTGTAAAGGATTTGGACTTCACTGGGGATATCAAACTAGACAGTGCGCGGGGATAGCCGGGGAACCAGAAGATGAACTGTGAGCCTGTGGTCCAGGCCTGTGAGGACAGTTTGGTCCAGGGACCAGGGATTGGGGAATGGGAACAGAAGGGAATGAAGCTACGTGCAAGTAAAAGGGTCGGGTCAGGAAACAAAGCCCTCTGGGGCATCCCGGGTGGAGAGGCATTTAGATTGGAGACTCAGAAGCTTCAGCCTTGGTGGGACTGGGGAAGTGGAGGCCAGGAAGGTCTCCTGGGGACCTCAGGACACAGGACTCGTTGGGGTTTCGGGAAGGCTGCCCTCACAGGTCCGGCAGACTTGGAGATTCTCAGGAGGAGCCCCGAGGTCAGCGGGGACCACGTGGGCATCAGCCACTGGGCCTGCGCTGCCCAGTAGAGAGCCGCTTCCCTCCTGGGGATCCTCACCTGCAGTGATGGGAGCGGGCTCCTGAGCCCGTGGGCAGCGTGGAGCGGGGTGAGAAAGGGCGTCTACCAGCTGCTGGGGCCTCGGCCCACCTGGATGGCTCCTAGGGCAGAAATGAACATGACTTAGTTTCCAGGGATTTTTCTTTTCTTGTTCCTTGGGAGTTTCTTACTAAACATGGGATCTTTTCAGTGCAGTGGTCCTTAGACTTCTCCTGGTCCCAGCATCTTCTCTCCTCCCTGGAGGGCAAGCACAGTTTGAAGGAGACCCCCTGTGACTATAATCCCATCCCTGGTTGGGGAATCGTTGGTCTCCTCCAGCGTTTCTTAGTTTTAAGAGCACAGATTTCTCAACGGGTGTTTCAGAGGACGAGTGTGAGTAGGTGGACTCTGGGTCCCTGAGTGCTGGGGGACACCAAGTGTATTTCCCTTTTTCACCAGCTCCATTTTCTCGAGCGTGCCATCATAGACACACTTGGAACGGTTTAAGGGGTGCAAACAAGTACACTTGAGGTATCTTTATTATATAAGTTCAGTTGCGTGTTTTAAACATTTCGCACGGTATTTGCTTTCTTATTTCTGCTCACCTTTGCATCCGCTTCAGCTTTTGAAGCACTCAGTTCTGCACATCGTACTAGGAAGGTATAAAGTCTTGAGAAGAGCACAGACTTTGAAATCAGCAAAGTGTTTGAATTCCAGGTCTGCTGCTTACTAGCTTGGTGGCTTCAGGCAGCTTGACCTCTCTGAACCTCAGATTCGTCATCAGTACAACAGGAAAAATAGTACCCATCTCAAAAGGTGTTGAGATTAATTAGGGTAATATACTCACATCAAGTGAGTGTGATCTCTAGCCTGTGGTGCATACTTAAGTGTGAATTCTCCTCTAGGTTTTAGTTTCTGATCTCCTGCAATGCGAACCTTACTTTATAATTCATGTCATTTCAGATGCACTAAATACAATGTAAAATTACTTTTATTTTTAAGGAACAGGTTACATATTATGAAATACAGCCTTAGTTATGACACATTAAATTTGACTTGTGGAAATGTTACCCGCCTTTTTGCCCGTGTTGCTGGGTGTGGTGAGGATAATGAGGTAGGTTCAAAATGCTGTCACAGAATCCTAAACACCTAGCTCTCTCCCTGGGACTGACTCGCATTCTACTCTAGCAAATAATCTATTATTATTATTATTGTTTTGCTTTAGAGCTACTAAAATTATTTTGCATTTCGTGTATGACCGGATGGTGGTTTGAAACCATGCTGTGTAGCAGGGAAATCACCAGGTTGAGTTGAAATATTGATGTAATTTGCTGAATTATCACATTCAGAGAGGCTTATTGCCTTTTTTTTTTTTTTTTTTTTTTTTTTGGGTA